ACAAGAGCACTCTTACCCTGCCACACAATCTTCCAGGATCACTTTGACCAGGCTGAGAAACTCACTACTACCTGACCCTTCTGGACCTGCCTGGTCAAACCAGTCCACACAGGGCTCCAAAACTGCCTCTTGGTGCCTTCCTTCTCTCTTACTCTCTCAGGCCACTGGCTACCCCTAGACAGCCCTCCCCACACCTCTCTGGTCACAACAACATATTCAGACAAAAATAAAACCTCAACAACAGATAATCATTCCTTTCAACACATCACCAGAGACAGGCCTCTTCATCCTTAAAATATGGCACATCAAGATCTCTTCTCCCAATCTAAGTTCTAAGTCTTTAAGAAAGCAATTTCTTTTTCTTCCCAGTGATAATGAACAAGTAGCTAAGTTCTGTGTTTCCAAGCTACGACAGTGCGAGTGCTTTGCGACTGACTCTGAGGCTCTGAGTGGAGCGGGGATGGATCACTGGGCATGCGAGTAAGTCTCTGTGCATAGACCCTGTGCCTTGTCCCACACCTAGCACGTGGTTAGCACTCCATCTGTGCTGGGGGAAGGCAGGGTTAGCAGAGGGCTCAGAAGTGCAAGCAGACTCTTCTGCCACCTTCCCACTTACTGCACTCTGCTCCAGCGATGTGTTTCTTGTCTCAAAACTCACTAAATCACAACTCTTGCCTTCTTGGTTTCTTTTAACAACCACTCATCTTTGGGTCACTCAAGTGTATGCACTTGCTCACTTCCCACACCTAAGCACCCCCAAGTCCTGTGACTCTGAACCCCTAATTATGTCTCAGCACTTTCCTCTCTGTCCTGACCACTGCAGCCTTGAGCCATATTCCTAACTTTTCTGACCTGAAGGAAAGAACTGCCTCCTAATTGGTTTTCTGACCTTCAGCTCTCTCTCTCTTCTGCTCTTTCTATGCATATCTAACTGCCTCTTTGGGGACTAATGGTGCTCAGTAGTCCCTCATAACACACAAGCCCTATGCCCAGCAGACCTGCAATTATGGCCACTATTCACTTCATCCTTCTTACCCCAGAAGTACCACATCCCATGTGTTTCTATAATAAATGGAGAAGTTTCCACCTCCATGTTTATTTGCCCCTATGATCCTGCATCCCACAAAGCCCTTCCCTCTGGCCTTTGCCTGACCACCAAACCTGTTCTCCACTCTGGGATTCTGTGCTCACCTAAGTCTGGATAACAATTCCATTTTCTGTGCTTCCACATCAGGCCGTGTATAACCATCACACTCAGCAGAGTGGCTGAAATGATCTACACAGCCATCATATATACCACTGGCTCCCTAAAGCCTACTGTGGGGCTTGGGACACAGTAGTAGAGCAGAGAGATTCATTCAAACCAGGAAAGCCAGGCTCACTTCCTTCCATAGGCTTGTTTCCTTTGGTCTTCCCCTGACTCCAGTCTCAGGTTAGGCTCTCTACTTCACTACTGCCATCTAGGGGTGAGAAGCCAGCATTGCGCCTCTCTAACCATTTAGCATTCAATTTGATTCAATAAATTGAATGGGATGAGAACACAAACAAGGAACAGTTGATTCCCGTGGGGGTGGAGAAAGGGTGGCAGTCAGGGTTGGCTTCAAATGGTGAGTGTGCTCTGGGATGGGCTGTGTAGATCACCAGGTGATAGAGAACAGCATTCCAGACAGAGGAAGAAATAGGCATAGAGGGTCAGAGTTGGGAGTCTTTGTGCAGATGGACAGAATAGAAGGGAGGGTTTGAGTATGTAAGAACTGGTATTCTAAGCTCAGGGCTTCTGACTCTCTTTCAAGTTACTCAAACAGATCAACAAAATTTGCTTTTTCCCACTCAGACTTTTAATAAGGAGGGACAAAACCAGATCCACATTTACAAAAGACAATCTTGCTGCACTGTGGAAAGAGGACAGAGACGAGAAGCAGCAAGTGAAAGAAGTGACGGAGCAAGCATCAGAAGACAGCATTTTCATAATTCTTTTCTTTTCTATCTGATGCTCTGTTATCCCAGACTCAATATAACCAAAATGAAATTCTGCTCCCTCAAACAAGTGCTTCAACAGAAACATTATTTCCTGCCACATCTGGAGGTGTTTATATATCTGGGCCTCTTCGTGGACCCCAAGTTTCAGCATTTTAAAACAGACCTCAGCACAATTTCGCACACAGATGTTCAATGGCAACAGAATGGGACTCCCTAAAACACTGCTTGAAAGGGTGCCCTAGACCCCTGTGATTATAAGAAGTGAAGCCCAGTGGTTCAGGGTAAGCATCAGTGTTCAAATCCTGCTTCAGCCACTTTAGTGCATGAAACAAGTTATACCACATGATCCATGTAAGCCTCAGTTTCCTCATCTCTAAAATGGCAACTATAACATTTCCTACCTCTAAGGCTGAAGACAAATGTCTGTGAAACGTCAAGACTATGGTAATCTGTCAATAAATACTGGCTAAATAAATAAGTACTGACAATTATTTAAACATCAGGTATTCCATGTCTACCACGCAAAGGCCATGCACAACACAAGGGACTCCTCACATACTTAAGTGTGCACAATACTTTTGTCCTTACCATTTCAGAGATAAGAAGACTAAGGCTAAAAACAGCTGAGCTTATTCAAAGTCTTGGGAGCATCTCCCATGGTGGAAGAAACTTTTAAGTTCAGGGATGGTTCTTATGGGGGTGGGGAGGATGGAGACACCCCAGGTGTCATCTCGAGATATTCTGGTCCTCACAACTGGGGGCAGGGACAAGGATGTTGCTAGCACCTAATGGGTTGAAGCCAGGGATGCTACTCAACTTCCTGCAATGTACAGGGCAGCGCTCCACAACAAAAAATTATGTGACCCCAACTGTCAGTAGAGCTGAGTTTGAGAAACTCTTTTCTGGCTGGTTCATCCTCCCTATCTTCCCCCTTCTACAGCACTGGCCATCAGGATCTCATATGAACACTTTTGATGAGGGGGCTCTGTCGCTCCGGGGGCAGCCCCATACAAAAGTTCTTCTCCACCTGCCCTGTACACAGTAGGTACCAAAACCCATTTTAATAGGCCTAGCAGGAGAAGACAAGGCAAAAGGAAGACCATCCGTCCCCCATTGTTGAATGCCATTTGTTTTCAACATATACATATATTTTACAAATCTAAACATCCCACGCCCCACTAACAGCATTGTTAGAAATGGCGATCAGAAAAAAAATTTTTTTTTTCTTTTCTAAGACTCCCATAGGCACTGAAAGGTTTACACACTTCTAAAAGCACTTCAGACCGGCGGCGGGACTGACAACGACCACAAAAGAATCTGTAGGATTTCCCGGGGGAGCGAGCCCGTGGGCCGTGACCTCTGCGCGGTAAAGACTCTTGCCCCACTCCCCCGCCTCTGGCTCCACTCTCCCGCCCCCGGATGCCGGGCTTCCAAGACTACCGGGGCCACCGCTGCGGAGCCCGGCCCCCAGGCGCGTGCCCACGCCGAGTCCCTCTCGCCCGCCTCTCGTGGCGCCCGAGGAATCCAGTCCTGGGCCTGTCGCT